ACTTGGCCCAAAATAATACATGAACAATTGAAAAGTTGGAACAACCTCTTACCATTGAAAAAAAGCTTGCTCAATCGGAAATACTACTACTCAACAAAATGTTTTAGGCTGAAATATATTTACTAAACAATTTAAGTCAAGTTAACCCTAACTACCAAAAAAAAGTCAAGTTAACCCTAACGTAAGTCAGGTAGGGGTGGATATTTGAGTTGCCGAGTCATATTTGGGTCAACACGAGCATGACACAATATGAATATTCCGTCAATTTTATTTATTTATATAAAATTATTTAAATAACCTCAAATTAATAAATAAAAGTAAAGTAAGTGAGGATAAATATATAATTATTTAATTTAAGCTTGTCGACACAAACATGAATACCCCTAATACAAATATGGCATGAATTTTTTCAAGTCACTTTTGGTTGGCACGAACACAACACAAACATGAATACATATTAACACGAACATGAAAGTTTTGTATCGTATTCGGGTTATATTCGCATATCGTGTTAAAAATTATCACCTCATCTTTCTAACATATTTACAAACTTATTGTTCAGAGTAAACACCAACTATAATGTCAGGGTAATAATATGGGTGTCTTGATGATGTTCTAAGGTTAGACATATATCTGGACTGGTATCAATCATATAAGGAAACGTATATGGAATAATGGTGGTATATTGTTGGATTGATAAAGTTGAATGCAATGTAATTGAAGTGTCTGTCGTTAGATAATGTTGATGTATTTATATGAACCTTAGGATATAGTTATCATGATGATTGTGGCCTTAGTATAGTTTTGCTATGAGAATAATTGTGGATATCAGAGAGTAGAAAAGGATCGTGGATATGATCCCACGATCTGAGTTTATAGGCTTCGGACTAAGCCAAATTCGCCTTGCCCGAGTGGTGGAGTTCAAATCCTCTTTAAGTGGGTCTAACTCTTAGGCCTAAGCCAGTGGCGGATCTGTGTATGTGTAAGTATGTGCAAGTGTACACACAAATTTTTTGGGAAAAAAAAGAATAAAATATATTTTGGGTAATCAACAAAAATTACAAGACCCAATTTAATCTCTTAAAAAGAAAGTCGACTTATGATCTCTTTAAATTCCAAAAATAGACCCATGTTAGTTCTTTTGAGGAATTAATGTGAGCCCTTTTGAATTTCAGAGGACGATGATTTTGATTATTTGGGTCTATTTTTGAATTCTGAGGGATCACGAGTAGACTTTTTTTCACCCAAGAGATTAAATTGAGGCCCGTAATTTTTGTTGAGGACCCAAAATATTCTTTTGTAATAGTTTAGTTGACTCTTGATTATTTTTTTTATATTGAGTTAAAGTTTTCTTCTTTTTTTATATTCTTTTGTATTTTAATATATTTAAAATTTTCTTTAAATTTTTTTCCTTTATTCTTTTATTCTTAGTGAATTTGCAGACATTAAGAAAAATTCTAGATCCGCTATTGCCTAAGCCTAGTGGACCCATCCGGATATATACGCGGAACCATAGTTATTAAAATCGGACCCACCCGGCCGGGTCGACTCGGGAACCGGTAAACCGGTCCAGTTGAAGCAACGGACCGACCATGCATCAGAACCGGTGCGACCCGACTGATTTTCATGAAAACCAGTGACCCGGTCGGTGACCCGGCCCGGTCCTAAAACAAATTCCAAATTTTTTTTTCAAAAAAAAAAAAATTCATAATGGACATATTTGAATATTTTTTTGCTTATTGACTTACATAAATTATGTACCTAGAAAACTAATATTATCTCAATTGTGCATTATGCAGAAAATTTTGATTTGATTTATAGTTAGAGATGTCATTTTCTGAATTTAAAGCCCCATATCACGATCATTATATTTTTATTTGATCCTTTATTGGATAATAGTATGTGATTTATTATTTTTTATATAAAAATATTTGAAATTTTTACTATTTTTTTTAGATATTTGAGTATATTTATAATTTTTTAATATAAATTATAAAATTGTATATAATTACTAGGTCATGTGGTTGAACCAGTGACCCACTAACCCAGTATATCAATCGGGTCAATGACTGGGTCGATTTTAATAACACTGCGCGGAACACTTATTTTTGTATATCTATTTCTAAAAAAATTCAAAAGTAAAATATAAAAGAGAAATTAAGATACGCATGTGTATTCAAAAAAAAAAAGGCAAGGAAAATTCCCACAGGTTGCCCACACCACGCCCCCACGAAGGAAAATGGGGCATTTTCAGTCAAAGTCATTTAAATGCCCAGCTCGCATCCACATGGTCTGTAATCCCATATCTACCCCTAAAGCATTTTCCTCACAGTCACGTGCTGATTCATTAAAATTATTTTAAATAATTCAAAAAATAAAAAAATGTTATCCCTCATCCATCGTGACCTTCCCCAGTTATTCTCATCAATTTCAACGGCCAACCAGCTGCTCAAGTGTGTACGTTAAAAGTGTACTATAACCAACCATTGATTGACACCTGTACTAATCAAATCCATCCACATTGCTCTGCCACACATCATTACCTCGTAAGCACATCGTGTGAGCTGTTTGAAAGTAATTTTTTTTTTTTTTAAGAAAAAAGAGAAAAGAAAGTACAAGTCTTGTGATTTAAAGAGGCGTTTGGTAGAAAAATTTATTTTTTTATTCAAAAATTTTGATTTTTAAAAATATAATTTTTACAATTAGTTTATGATAATATACAAAAATTAAAAATTTATAAAAAATTAATTTTTTGAAAATCCTAAAAAATGACTAGTACTAAACAGCCCCTTGAAGGAATAATTACCAATTTGACATGATATTGGAAAAAAATTAATATGCTACAATTTTATAATTATTTTTTAAAATGTAATGATTGAATTTTATTATTGGATACAGCAGGCTACATTTTGCAATGTGACAGAAAATGGTGAATTCAATTGGTTATGGTCTATTTGATTGTATTTTGTTTTTTTTTTAAATTATTTTATAGAATAATTAGTGAATTAAGTATTTTTTTTTATTTTAAAAGTTAAAAATTAAAATATAAAACAGAAATAATTGAAAAAGATCATGTTCTCTAAATTTAATTCTAAAAATTAAAAAATAGTTATAATTTTTAGAATTGTTTTTACAAAATGGGTATTATTAAATATTTTTTATTTTTTGTTCTAAAATTAAAAAATAGAATTCAAACAAGCTCTTAAATGGACTCAAATTCTTTTGCCACGCGGAAAAATGTCTATAAGGTTTGAAACTAATGCTACTAACTCATGCAATAATACTCACATCCATCTGTCTTGTAGCAAAATATATCTCGCACACTGATGGACCTAGGAGAAAGGTGTGGGTCGGAGATCACCCCTCCCTAATTATTTTGATTTTGATTTTTTTTGTGTGTTGATTTTGATTTTTTTTAATATTATATATAATGATATTTTTATAATAATAATAGACTATAGTCTGAATAGTTAGCCCCTCCTTGAAAAATATGTAATAATTAGCCCTTTATATCTGTCTTAAAACATTTGTAACTTTAATATTTATTTTTGTCTTTCATCATAAAAAATTCTGGATTCATCATTAATCTCGCACGAATCAATAACGGAGCTTTAAACGTAATATAATTTGAAATAATTTTTCAAATGTGATATTTTGACAATTTTTTTATTCCTTCGGTTAAAGTGCCTTGCAACTAGGGGTGTTAATGAGTCGTGCCGAGCAGAGCTTTGATTTTAACGGGTCGAGCCTGTGTTTAAATGTGTCAGACTGGCCTTAGCTTCTTACCTGTTACGAAGATAATATCAGCATGTGGCCTCACTCATTTACAAAAAATAAAAACCTGATTTAGCCTGTTAGCCTGTTTTAAAATAATAAGACAACAAAAATTTACCTAAACAAAATCTACAATCAACAGCACTAGTAATTTCATAAATATTCATAAATTTATGTATATCCAAATAACATAATATAAAATAAAATCATTCAAAAAGTCTGTTTAATTAATAAAATGGGATGAAATGAATTGAGAAGAGAGAGTGCTATCACAAGTAGTATAAAAAATATAAAAAAATATATATATATTAAGCAAGCCTGAGAGGCTCCAAGGCCGAGCTTTTGAATTGGAGTCTGGGGCCTTTTTATTAAACGAGTTTTTATACAAGTCCAAGTCTGGGTCCAACAATCAATTTTAGACATGTAAGCTCAGGCCTTCACGAGCCGACCCAAAGGCCCCTATATGACCCTTGACTCGTTTAGCACTCATACTTGCGATATTTTAAATGAATTTAAAAAAAAAATGCATTAACTCTTTTTTCGAAAGTCAAAATTAATTTGTACTCTTTTTTTTTTTTTATAACAAAATTAATTTGTACTTAAATACAATATTTAAGAAACATTTTAAGTAAAAAATAATTTTTGACTTTTCTTAAAAGTTAAGAATCTTGACTCAAAGAAAAAGGTAATATTTTAGATTTTTTTTTTAACTTCTACTCTTTTCTTAGTTATAAAGATACATATGTAAAATAAGAAGCATTTTTGTTTATAAAAAATTCAATTTGAAAAAAAAAAAAAAAAACTATTCAGACAGAAAAAAATCCCTTTAAATTTTTTTTTACCCGACATCAAAATCAAATTTTAGTCGCATCATTTTGCTTTGATCAAACACAATAATCCCATGTCTTATTTTAATATAGTTAAAAAAATTAATTATTACTGGATAAATTAACGGTAATAAATTTAAATATAAATTCATAAAATAAAACATTAAATGAATGAGATTTTCCAGATAAGAAGGTCAAATGAAACATTTAATTTAAAATAATTTATTTCCTATTTTTAATATTTCTCATTATATAAGTTAACTTATTTTTCCCTATAGAATTAAATTATTTTTATAATAATTTATACCAAAAATCTCCCTTTTTGATTCTATCCCGTACATCTATCCATCTCCACAAACTCCATTTCCACTATATATCCCACACTCCCAAAACTCAAACTCAAATTCACACCTTCACTCCCTTTCTCTCTCTCTTATTTCTCTCTCTTCAATTCATCAATGGCTTTTTCTTTACCCTTTTCACCCCTTATCTTGGGAATCTTCATTTCCATCTTCATCTCTCTCTTCTCACCTTCACATTCAGCCGTAACCTGTGCTTCCCAGAAGCTTCCATCGAACCGCACCTACGCCAACTGCACAGATCTTCCAACCCTCGGCGCCACCCTCCACTTCACCTACAACGCCACCAACAGCTCCCTCACCGTCGCCTACGCCGCCTCGCCGCCGAAATCCGACGGCTGGGTGGCGTGGGGAATCAACCCCACCGGCGGCGGCATGGTGGGGACACAGGCACTCATGGCCTTCAAGCCTAACGGCACCGTCGTCGTTCAACCCTTCAACCTCACCTCGTACAAAAAGATCGACCCGGTTAAGAATCTCTCCTTGGAGACATGGGACATCGCCGCCGAGGAAGCCGGCGGAGTTATAACGATCTTCGCGGGGGTGAAGTTGCCGGAAAAAGCTGACAACTTTAGCCACGTTTGGCAGGTGGGGCCCGTCAACGCCGGAGTACCGTCGGTGCATGAGTTTAAGACGGAGAATCTTCAGTCGAGAGCGTCACTTTCGACGGTGGTGTCCACAGCAATTGAAAAAGGGAACACAAGTAGTAGTGGGGGTGGGAACACTACAGCTACTGATAAGAGTAGTGCGGTTTTGATGATGGGTGAGAGATTTGGTTTGGGATTTTATTTGGGTTTGGTTTTGGTTTTATTGAGTGTTATGTGATCTTTGGTTATTTCTCTCACTCAGATCTACCCCATTGAATAATTTTTCTTGTTTAGTGATTCTGTAGATTTCTTTGTATGTGTCAATTTGCTTCTTTTTTTTTCTTCCTTTGTTGTGATTTCGGTATGGAGAGATTAGATGATTTGGTTATTTTTACTTCTCATTTGTGCTATTTTTTTCTTTTTGTGATTCTGGTAGATTTCTTTGTATGTGTCATTTTAATTTAATTTAATTTAATTTTTTTTCGTTCCTATTTTATTGTGATTTCGATTTGGAGAGATTAGATGATTTTTATGTGTTAGAAATTCAGTTTTTAGAATCTACAGACTTAGATATTTGCATCAGATATTTTATAAGAATTTAAAAAAAAAAATCTTCAGGATTTGATTGTAATATTGATATTAAGTAGTTCAATTTTCTGTTGAACTACTTCTCTCTTCTATATCATGGACTTTGCAGCACGAACTCAACCAAAAACAGTGGGTTAAGGCTTGGTTTGGTTTGGTCGGATTTTGAAGAAAAGAAGGATTTTTTATGCATTATTTTTAGTAAAAAAAAAAATTTGGTCAAAAGTCAGATATTTTATGTTTTGAAAATTACTTTCGAGTAAAAAATAATATTAAAAAAGTGTTACTTTAATTTTTTTTTTGTTTGCTTCCAAATATATTATAGTCTGAAAAATAATACTTCTTTAAAACAAAAAAACAATTTTTTAAGGAAAAAAGGTCAATTTAAACGCTCTTTTTTCTTTTCTTTTTTTAAGTAAAGGACAATTTAAACGCTCCTTTACTTTGTAGACTTGATAACATTTTAAATACTTGATGAGCATTGCTAATCCATAAAAAAAAAAAAAAAAAAAAATGGCTAACAGTTGAGGACCGAGTAGTTGAGGAGTTTTATTGTCTTCAAAATGTTCTTTTCTTTACTTTGGTAAACTGTAATCTTCGTACTACTTGATAAGCGTAACTACTCCCATCAAACAAAATTAGCTAACAATTGAGATTGAAGCGGATGAGGAGTTTTATTATTGCCTTCAATTATTGGTGGACGTGGATCACTTTTTCCATTTATATACATACGCTGCTAGTTTGTTGTAATCCATTTCGAGATTTTTGACTATGTTTGAAGTAAACCAAAAAAATCACATAATTACCCAAGAGGTATTGGTCTACTAGCATCTCATCTAGATATTAGGATTTGACAGCAATTTGTAAGAGTTTTAATTCTTGAAAAATGTAGAGACTTAAACTTAAAACTGGATTAATGGGACCTGTTAGGATTCAAACATCGATTGATTTTTTATATAAAAAAATTAAATATGTCCATAAATAACTATAGAATTAGATACATTGTAGAATGTTAGACTAGAAGGAAACTGAGGGAGCGTTTGATACGCGGGATTTTGAGAGATTTTCTAAATTTTAAATTTTCAGATATTATCGTAAACTGAATGCAAATATTATATTTTTGAAAATTGAGATTCCCGGACAAATAAAAATTTCTCCTGTACCAAACGCCCCCTGAAATAACAAAAAAAAGGTTGAAAACATGTATGTGAATATTGTAAAATGAATTTAGGTAGTTTTTTAAGTTTTGTTACGAAGGTTTTGCTTAGGGGAGAAACAAATCTCAGCAACAGGGACTCAAAACTATGAAGGAGACAAGGCTCTGAATAATTATGTTTTTTAATGAATGTGGTTTTGTCCTTAGTGCACTCACATGTAACGGAAACGAAAAAGGTTCAAAGCATGGGCAGCGACCATTCGATCTCAATTATCAAAAGTCAATATGAATTTCAAATTTTTTTTTTTTATTCTCTATTCTTTAATTTTTTTTTTTCATGACTTAAAGGTTAACTTACATCAGATACTTTACAAAGGCAATGAGGTTTTCGCGGCTCTTTTTTAAAAGACATATACATTTTTAATTATAAATAAAAGTAACTCTTTTGCTTTGCAATAACTCTTCTAAGAAATCAAAAAATTATTCGAATTCTTGAAATTAATTAACTTTACCAATTGAATTTGTTTAACATTTTTAATACAAATTGTAATATTATATTTACCAAAAAAATTATATATATTCTTGTTGTTTTGGACAAGCCTCATAGTCCAGAATTATGAATTAACCATTAGAGGTTCATTTTAGGGGTCACTTCCCTCTTTCCCTAAAGTGAAAAACATAAATTTTATTATATACAATTTTTCACTTTCTTCCGCAACTCATCATAGACACATTAGTGGTGCGCTACCTTACCATAACAGTGAGGACTTGAGAAAAAGGTTATGGCTCGTCTCTCATTGTAACATTCCGTCTGCAGCCGATTTGCTAACGTCCATATGGTTACATAAACATGTAATAAGTAATTACTTTAGCGGAAGACTTATTAACTAATCACTCTTTACCTATTGTAAAAAGGTGAATAATTTTTTTTAATTTAATTTATATTTACGTATTGACGCGCGTAATTTATTAAACTCTATACAATCCCATAACTGCAGAGTACCCTTAATTATTATACCTATAACTGTAATTAACAGTCATACACTATTCGGATATGATATTATGTATCATTCCGAATAATGTTCAACAGACAACATAACTGTTGTAATATGGACTAATTAGGGAATAAATCCCACACTAAACATCACCTGTAATCCAGAATATCCAAACAGACAACATAAATATATAACAGGTTTAGAATCCATCAACGAATTCCTTAATAACTTGGCCACGTGCCAATTCTATCAAATATATAAACATGCAGACATACTACTTTTATATAATTCATTATACATCACCTACTGTATTATGGAATCATGCCAATACAACAATACTTACTGATACAAACATGTGACATATAAAACTATACATAGGCTACATATGCCCATCAAAATAGATATCAGCTATAAACATATGCATGATCGTTGCTCATGCATGGAAACATAATATATACAATAATCCACACATGCTACTGAATAACTACTGCAGTTGAGTCTTCTATCACTCATGTGCTGGCCTCTTGCCCTGAGAGGGCTCTCTTGCAACTGTCGGAGTACCTGAAATGTAAGTCCCCAAACGGGATAAAATTCAACTATCTCAGTAAACTCTGGGTTTATGAAGTAGTCTCTACCTATGAGTTCACTTCCTGCATGAGAGGTCAGATACAAAGCATAGCATACAACATGTAAACACAACAGAAATCATACAATCATAATTCATAATTGACTTCTGGAAGAGTAATTCCTTCCTCGGATAGCCCGTACATAATTCTCTTAGCACCTAAGTCCTCATGGAGAGTGTTCATTGTTCAATAACCATATACTATAAAACATAACATATCATTCAAATATATCACATAACATAATCTACATGAATGCAATTATACCAAACATCTAACATATTCAGGCATACAAACACACAGACATCCAAACCAACATCCTACTGGATTATGGCGGAACAACAAAGAAGGAGAAAACTCCTTAAATCAAGAGCTTACTTGGAAATAACTTTCCTGGCTGTTGGGCAAGTGGCTTCTTACACAGGACACTTACAGGACACCTAGAGGGGGGGGTGAATAAGTGTTCTAAACTTTTTCAAAAACTTTTTCTTAGTAGATCCTTAAGAATGATATGTCTAGACAAAGTTGAACTATTAAGCTCAATCACCACACCAATTAAATAAGATTGACAGTTATCAATTTATATTACTATTTGAATTCAATAAACAATCACACAGTTTTTCTTTAGTCCCTATATGCCCAAAATAATTTTTCACAATGCTAAGAACAATATAGTAACTGAAAGCGTACCTTAGCAATTTATAGAGTATAAACGCAACAATACAATTTTCTTAAACAAAACAGAAAATATTAATTCTGCTACAGCACTTTTAATATGTCACCAGAAAATCGCTATAGCACTTTCAAACCAGAAATCAGTGTTACCTTAAGTCTCTAAATAGAATATTCAGAAATTAAATCAAAGAGACAAGAGACACACGATATATCACGGTTCACACCCACAAAGCCTAAGTAGGGTGCTACGTCCATACTGAAGTTGCTGCAGATATTTTATTTATCACAAGTGTACCTATTTTACAAACACACATCGCACAAGTAATCAAACAAAATATCAAAAATATTCCTAGTACCTACACTGCTCCAAGTTCTGAGACTACTCTCAAGCCGAACCTACGGAGTTCACAAACTCCTCTCACACAAGACCTCCACTCTCCATAGTGGATTCTAGAGGCTCCAGGTCTTGAGACACACTCTCAAGCCAAGCACAAGGTCACCAACGCACACGGTTGCACCCACACACGCGCACTTCACTTTAAACAAACAATACAATATCTCATATTTATAACAGAAAATTTATCAACCCATTACAATGTCCTATCACACTTGATATATCAAATAAGCCGCAACAACAAGCTCCAAAATGATATGAAGTATACAGAAATTTAGAGCACAAGTATATGTATCACAAACTTCAAATTTTCAGCAATAAGGAACTTGTATGTAATACTATCAAGTATCTAAATGGTGGACAGTTAAAATTTCTGATTTAAACAGAAACTATCACACTATATCCAGAAAAATCAAATTTGTAATTTCTCTCAAAATTTCACAAAACTTTCAGAATTAGTTCTAGATAAATCTCTTAATGATAAACCACAAGAAATCTGAATTTTAAGCACAATATACCTCAATTAAAACAGAAAATTCAGATTTAATATTCCAACAATAAAATTTCTAGAACAGTTCAAGATTAGGTTTCTAAACAGTGAATCTCAAACAAAAATCTGAATTAACACAATGTATAACAAGGTGTAAAAGCAAATTCAGATTTGATATTTTTAATCGATCTTTCACAAAAATTAGAAACACAAATCTTACACAAAGAGCATCAAGATTTCTATTATGTTCACTTAAAATCAAAACAGAGAAATCGAAATACTCACAATATATCAAAAAAAGAACTGAAAATCAAATTAACAATATCAATAATCAAGAGTATACCAAAGGATGCTCAAAACAAGGTTTAAGATATTACCACAATAGCTTTCAATTTTCAGCAAAGAGAAATCAAGAATGTAGTTAGGGTTCCTCGACTTTTGGTTCCAAATTTTTTGAATTAATTGCTTTAAAACCTTCAGTCTTGTAGAAACATGAACAACACTTCAAATCACCCAAGCTTGACTCAGA